GAGACATTTAGAACACTTAAAACTTTTATCCCCTTGTAAATCCTATTAAACTCTTGTCATAGAACTCTTGATACAGCCCTGGTGTTTTTGTTTGTATGTTTGTTGCCAGGAAAAGCCTGGTAATCAAGTTATAGGTAGAACAATGCTTAAAAGTGTTTTTCAATCAAAGTGGTCTACTGGTAAGAGCCTGGGATCTGGTGTCAATGGCTCTACCACATCAGAGTCACCACAGGGGCAAGTTACCTTCTAAGCTTCAGTCTTCTTCTGTGTTTAAGAAACATAATAATACCAATGGTACTCAGCTCATAGGATGCTAGGTTAAATTAAATGTGATTGTTTCTGTAATAATCAACTCCATTGCCTGCCCTGCCTGTTCCTTCCTTTGCACATCTATGTATGGTGTAAAGTTGCTTTTTTAAAAAAATGAATGAACAGGCTTTATTTTGAGAAAGACAGCACTCTGTTATATTCTTCAAGGGGGAGCAAAATATTGTTTACCAGATTCTTAATAAAGAATTTAGTAGGAACCAAGTAACAAATATTAAGCCTCTGGAAGTGGGGCAGGGCATAGTCTCCAAGACGGGAAACACTGCAAAAGCAAGAGTTCACATTCATCTGAGCAATCTGACAATTCTACTAGGATCATACCAGTTTGCCTTTAATTGGGCAAGATGCAGGTATCAGCAAATGCAAAGCTGCTCCATACATTCATTAAGCACCATTATTGGTTTTAGACAAATAATGAAGCAGTTCAGAGAAGACAAGAATGGTAGAGGGATTGTAGCATTTAACATAAACCTGATCAACAGAAAATACTCACATGTATCCTTCCCAAATAGCTCTATTATTTGACCACTCTGAAAGCTAACTTTTTTTTTCACATAGCACAGATTAATGCCAGACATTAGAATCACAGTGTTTTAGTACTAAAAGAAGCCTGAGAGATGATTTAGATCAGTGGTTCTCAATCTGTAGCATCAAAATTCCCCCAAAGGCTTGTTAGAGCACAAATGACTGGTCCTAACCCCAGATTTTCTGATTTAGTAAGTTTGGGGAAGTCCCAAGAATTGAACCACAAATTACACTTTGAGAACTGACCAGTCTATCAATTTTACTGATAAGGAATCTAAGCTCTTTAGGTTGATACCATATTGTGCTAATGCCAAGCATTTTTTCTTAAATGGAAAGTCTCCAGTATACCAATACAAAACACAAAACTTTTCTAACCTTAGCTGTTAAAGTATGATTCTGTTTAAAGTGGTGCTTCAGAATGGAACATTTTGTCAAAAGGTTTTGTCATTCCCCTTTACCAGTCTATGCTCTGCCCTTCTCTACTCCCTCCCTATCCACCCACTGCCCCCAAAAATCGCACCACCAGTGGCAGGGTAGTTTAGAGAATAGCTATAGATTTTACTGAGCTCTTGAATTCAGTAAATACAGATAAGACTTGGTTGTTAATTGATAAATAAGATTATCTATCTATCTCAAAAGTAGCGCATGCTTAAAAATTTGCAAAAAAGAAAAAAACTAGCTTACATGATAAAAACATTTATACAACTTAAGTATGAGGAGGCCAATACTCCTTTACTATTAACCTGTAATAAGTTCCTTTCTACCTCTGGGCCTTGGTACAATGCTGTTCCTTCTGCCTAGAAAGCTCTTCCATCCACCTTCCCTTTTGTTTTACGAGACTATCTCCAGCAAGGCTAGGTCCTATGGAACTTTCAGTGCTCTGTCTTACAGAATCTGTCACAACTGCGTTAATGATCTGTGCAATTATTTGTGCATGTCTCCTGAGTTAGACTGTTAACTTCATTAAGAGTCATATGCTTGACTGAAGAGTCATATCCCTTCTTCCCCAGCTCCTAGCCCAGTGCCTGATGCATAACAGCTGGACACTTATAGTTGTTGAATATATTCCTGGATGAAGATACATCTAATATTGTATATGACTAAAATATAATAATCCTAAACATCAGTCCCAAAGTTTATTTTAGTATTGTTCTATCTCAAAACATTTTAAAAATACCATGTAATTTTTAAATTCTGAATTTTAAATAACAATAAACATTTCATGTCAGAAAATTATACAGTTGTATCCATAGCAGGATTTGAATTCTGACCTCATTCATTCTTCAATGTACTATACATCCAATGATACGATCAGTAGAAGATATATGACTCACTTAAGTCATATCTTAAAATAGCTGTGGCAGAGTGCAAATTAAAACTATTCTTGCTGTGGCAGAGTGCAAATTAAAACTATTCTTAAAGATAAAAATCCCATTAATTATAGGACAGAAGCTAGAAGGAACTCAAAAACTCCAAGTATGCTTCCTTTCTTTCAGCATTATTTTTGCTGGGACAGTAGGACCACAGTCCAAGATACAATTTCTTTCCCCAGACGCTTTCCCTTTTCCTGTCAGGTACAGCTGAACTAATTGAGGTCTACTGGGCACTCTCTTTACTACACCCACGTTGCCAAACACCCCCTTCAGTTGTAGAACAGTGCCTACTGTCAACCAGAGCATAACCACTCATTTTCTCCATTCCTAAGCACTTTCAGGGCCAGGACACAGCAGTAGTTCTTGTCCTTGACTGAAGTAGCTGAAATACTATGAAAAGTCTCTGAGCACTGAACTCTGAAGACCAACCAAATTAGAATTGTTGCAGAAGGGCTTGTGCATTTTTTCAGTGATAGTCTTTTGCTACTCAAGGAATAAACTCAATTCTGGTTGAGTCAGGCTGTTATGAATTAAACTTCATAAATATTTATCCTAAATTTCTTCATTTATATGCTTAAGGTTGTTTCCATTTTTATGAATTTCATATTACCTAAATGAATGGGAAATGAAGTATGTCTGTTAAAACCCAATCAATGTTAACTTGTTAAAAATATTCTGCAATATAAACTGCTTTTAAATCAATGAAAAGTTGTAATACCAAAATTGGCAAATTCAGGAGCACCAATTCAATAAAACAACTTAGAATTATCTAAATAGCACATTCTGTAAAATTGTGGCAATATGATGTTCCTTGGTTATGACATAATTAGATATTTTAATCGTTTGAAAAACTGTTATAACTAAAACACAGGATTTTAAGGGGAAACAAATGGCCAGAAATATGGAAGAGCTGGAAATTAGGAGACAACTCAGTTACCAGGCTCCTTGCCAAGAAGTTCTTAGATTGCCATCTCTCCATTGAGCCAGCAAACACATCCCTGAGCTGCATGGGTGCTGAGGCTGCTGAAGGAAGACTGAATATATCCTCCACAACGCTTCACACATTTGTTCTTTTCTTTCTTTCCCTTTCCTTCTTTTTAGGGTTCAAAGCTGCCTGATTAGCATGGGTAGCGCTTTGTCACCCAGATGGTTGCTTGAATGTCATTTCCTCAGAGATCCTTCCTGTCATAATCCATTTTTTGTTGCTTATAATTCCTAAAACTGAGTGATCTGTAAAGAAAGTAAATTATTTCTTATAGTTTTGGAGGGTAAATACAAGGTTGAGGGGCCACCACTGATGAGGGCCTTCTTCTTGGATGAAGAAAGCCTGCAAGGAGCTGAGCACATACTATCTCAGGACTCTCTTTCTCTTCTTATAAAACCACCACCTACCCTCCATGACAACCCGTTAATCCATTATCCCATGAATGAAGCCCTCATGATCCAATTACCTCTTAAAAGCCATCTTTCAATACTGCCACATTGGAGATTTGTTTAAACATGAGTTTTGAAGGGAAAAAACACACAAATTGTAGCACGTCCCAGTCAAACTCGATCCCATTATTATGTTTGCTCTTCCTTCATATAATATATCCCTATCTGATAATTTTGACTTTGTCTGTCTCCCCTAAATCACCTTGTTCGCTGTTGTCTCCCCAACGACTAGAACAAGGGCCAGTATTAAGTATTAAGAGCATTTGCTAAATGAATAAATGCTCTTAATAAATATGTCTTCATTAGTCCATTTAGCATTTCCCCTTCTCTCTCTCTCCCTTCACTCGCAGGAATCCGTAAGGGTCACTATCCTTGTAGGAAAAGCCTTGAACTGGAATCTCATGCCCAAAGAAGTCCTCTCCTCCGTGTTAGGCCGGCCATTCCTAGCCTGGTACCTAACGGAATTTCTTTCTTTCTTTTTTTTTTTTTTTGAGACAGAGCCTCAAGCTGTCCCCCTGGGTACAGTGCCATGGCATCACAGCTCACAGCAACCTCCAACTCCTGGGCTCAAGCGAGTCTCCTGCCTCCGCCTCCCAAGTAGCTGGGACTACAGGCGCCCGCCACAATGCCCGGCTGTTTTTTGGTTGCAGCCATCATTGCGGGTCCGGGCTGGGGATTCGAACCCGCCACCTTAGGTGTATGTGGCTGGTGCCTTAGCCGCTTGAGCCACAGGCGCCAAGCCACTAACGGAATTTCAAGGACCGACAGACACTCCAAGGACGGGACACTGACGTCTGAGAACTGAGGAAAGGCAGCAGGACAGGATGCTTTCTCTTCGCTTCCTGGAGACTGCCACCTCCCTAACCGCACGACCGGGACCAGCCCCTCAGACTGCTGCATTCATGCCTCGCTCCTAAGTTCCCGGTTACCTGCTTAGGATCCAGCTCCGGCCACTACGCCTTGGCACCGCCATTCCAGGGAACACCTGCCCTCACCGGGCCACCGTAGTTCACGGAAAGTCCACGCAGGCCCCTCCTCCCGCATGCGTAGAGGCCCGGTTCGCGTATAGTGTCTCTTAGCAACTGCATGGAGTCTCCCTGCCAGGGGCGGAGCCTCGGAAGCCTCCGCGGGGAAGCTGAGGGGAAAGTGAGTGAGACCAATCGGAGACGAGTTCCAGCCCCGATTGGCACGCCTCCTCTAATTGTCGCGAATGCAGAGACAGCTTTACGGCAGGCAGGGGGTGGGGGCTGCTGGGGGTAAGGAGGAGAGAAGGAAGCAACCAACCAACCAAGTAGCCCCCATCTCCCACCCCCACCCACTCCGGACCTGGTTTACGGCTCCAGGCTGAGGCTCCACTGCGATCGCTGATTGGTTGCCGAAGCCTTGGTCCCATCCCAGTGACCCCAAAGTGCTGGAGGGAGGGGGTGGGGGTGGCCCAGTGCAAAGTGCATCCCGCAAACCCCCTGTCCGGAGACCCCACAGCTGGCACATCGGACCCTGTATGACCTGGGACCTCGCTGTCCCGAGACCTCCTGGTCCCTCGGTAGCTGGAAGCCTCTGGCCCGGAGCGCGGCAGCCCGCTGCTTCGAGCCTCTGGACCGGGACTGCCCCCCCAACCCAAGCCGGGACTTCCTCCCTGCACCCCTGCCCGGAGGCTGCCCGGCGGCCGGGACCGCCACCTCCCGCCTGTTTTGCTGTCTGGATGCTCTCCGGGCTGGGGCCGTAAGACACTGAGAAGGATCAGGAACACCCAGGTCCGGCCCTGAGTGGGGTGTTTCTTCAATGGAGAAGTTGGTGAGTGTGGAGGAGGCTGAAAGGAGGAAGAGAAGCAGCAGCTGAGGAGACAGGTAAAGTCAGTTACCTTCCCTGAGGGGAAGGAGAGAAGCTGGATGGGCAGGAGGGAGAAGAATCTCTGCTCCTTCACTGCCTGCCCTTGCCACTCTTCCAGCCCCTTCTTTAGCTACCTTCTCTGAACCCCTTCTTGCCCCTGAGGCGCTACTCAAGTCACTAGTTTCTGCTTTCCAGGTTTGAGCTGGCTGAAGGAGACAGAAAAGCTGGAAGGGGTCTGCCGACCCACCAGAGAAGCAGCAGGCACAGTGCCTCTGACCAGCATCCTTTAAAAAGGTAATGAGCCAACCCTCCCCTCCCCCATTGTTTATTCGTGGCCCCTACCTCATTTAGCAGGACTTTATTTTCAGGGTGGTTGCCCCCAGCTTCGTAGCAAAAACAAAAACACTGCCCATGCCTGATCCTTAACATTTTAATACTTTTCTACCTCAGAAATATGTTTTTCCCCCTTTTTTTGTACAGTGTGTTTCTGTGTTTTGCATTATCTTTTGGTACACTGTGCTGCTTACTCTGCTCTGAGGCCTTGAGACCTTTTTTGTAGCTCCCTCGCCTTCCTAATTCTCATAGGAATTCCTCAGTCCCCTGTTAATTGCTTGATAATTCTAAATGACTTTGCTTTTTAATTAAACCACAATGTACTCCTTTCCCCCTTAATCTTTCTCATCAATTTTTCTCTGTATCAGAAAAATCTTTTGAGTTACCTAATTGACAATGGTGTGATAGGGAAAGGTGAATTAATGGTTTGAAATTTACAAGTTTCAGAAAATAAAATGATTCTATCTCCTAGTAGGGGGTGAATGTGTGTACCTTGATAGAGTGAATGGTATGAAGGCCCTGTTAACCCCTGAAGCACTTACATGTAATTAACTCTTTGAGTATGTACGTCTGTGTGTGACTGTAAGTGTGACAGTGAGAAAGAAATGTGGATGCACTCTGAGAATTATAAAGATATAAATAATTACACCTCAGATTTTGTAAAACTTTTAAAAATTTACACCGTATGTTAATGACCCTTTGAGTCTTAGGAATTTAAATACAAAAGAACTGTTTGGTGTTTAGGTATCTGGGGCTCAATTTTTGTACTCATCAAAAATAAGATTTCTCATTTCAAAAACTCTTACAGAGAATTTGCTAGATTGAAATTTAAGCATCTAATTCATAGGTCACATTTCTGCTGCCATATTTTGTTGCTGCCTCTGAAAATGCACACTAAAGGTAAGTTTAGGACATTGATGCAATTCCTAAAGAGGGGATATGAGCATGGAGAGTACATAAGAGTTAAATCCAAAATTAGTCAAATGAATGACTTTTCTAACATCCCATAGCAAAAGTATAAAGTGACTTTTAATCTCAAAGTCATTTTAATATCTCAGATTATTCACAGAATTTTGGGTACAAAGAAGTTAAAATTTTGATTTTCTCTGTTCTGCTGGACTTTCTGTTCTCCACAAAAAGAAATTAATATCTTTACTGATTCTATTCTCAAAATGTAGCTAAAGATGCTTTTAAGAGAATCTGAGTGTTTACACATCCTTGAGACCTGGAACTGAATGCCAAAGGGCATTCTACTGAGCGGGATTTAGAATCAGTGTCTGTCAATGATTGTTCCTTGGTGAAAATTTAAGACAGACTTTGTATGTATATGTAGGTGATCCAGGTAATTGACTACATCATTTCAGTAAAAGTTATGTAGAAGTCTGTAAAGTTAGAAGCTAATATTTAAGTGTGGAAGTTATCAGAGAGTACCTTAATGATTAGTTTAGAGCTTTTAAAAAAAAAAAGCTAAAGTATTTGAAGTATGTTTCAGAGATCAAAATGAAGTAGTATATATTTTCTATTCAAGTCATCTTGAATTAAATATTTTTTCTGCCTTAGATGTTAGATTTAATCTGTAGGATGTTTTTGTTTCTGAGGGGTGTTTTCCCCTGAGATGGTAAGGAAGGGGCTTTGTGGCTAGTCAAAAATATAAGGTAAAGGCTCGGCGCCTGTGGCTCAAGCGGCTAAGGCGCCAGCCACATACACCTAAGGTGGCGGGTT